ACCCCTTAGCGCTATTTTCGTAAGGTTTTTATGGTTGTATTCTCATTTTTCTGGTCTCATTTGATAGAATTGAAGATATTTTACAGAAATAGATATGATTTTGATTGCTTTCACGACGAAAAGTACCTTGAAATTGAGCTCAACACAGGAGAAGTGTTCGATTGTTTTGGCTATGTTTCAGAGTAAACAAATGATGTCACTGTCCATTCCAATATGCAGTTGTGAATGGGTTGACATTATTTATACAATTATTGCAATAAGGCGTAACAGTAAATCTTATATTTTTTGCGTGAATAAAAATTACAAATTATTTATATTGTAATAATAATAATAATATGTATAATAATAATAGTACATATAATAATATAATACAATAAGAGGGGTGTTAATTTTGCAGTTTAAAAACTGTAGTGTAAAGCACCCTTCTGGCAAGACAGTGATGGAGTGAATGATGGTGAAAGTTTTTCTTTTTCGGGCCACCCTGCCTTGGTGGGAATCGGCCAGTGTGATAATAAAAAAAAAAAAAAAAAATAAGAATAATAATATAATACGTATAAAAATAACACATATTTAATAATAATGTACTACATAATAATAATAATTATAATAATAGACGGCTTCAAAAGGCCGTCACTAGATGGCGGTGTTTAGCACAACATAGAAGGAGCGGTTGTGGCCGCCTCCACCTGTTACATAATGGCATATTTTATTCATTCTAGAGTATATATCAGGTTTCTGTGTTATTTACATTTTTTATTATTTCATATTAGATGAACTGTGATAGATAAATAAGCCGCAGAGTTGATGATAGCGAAATATTCAATGGATATTTTGTCTTGTTTCCAGACAAACTCATCAGCTGCCGCTGCCACATATGTAATGACATATTTTATTCATTCTAGAGTATATATCAGGTTTCTATGTTATTTACAGTGTTTGTTATGTCATATTAGATGAATTGTGATAGATAAATAAGCCGTAGAGTTGATGATAGCGAAATATTCAAGAAATATTTTGTCCTGTCTCCAGACAAACACTTGTCGCCCGCTGCCGCCACATATGTAATGACATATTTTATTCATTCTAGAGTATATATCAGGTTTCTGTTATTTATATTGTTTATTATGTCATATTAGATGAACTTTGATAGATAAATAAGCTGTATAGATGATATTAGCGAAATTATTCAAAAAGTATTTTGTCCGGTCTCCAGACAAACTCTCGTCCACCACCGACACCGCCCATACCACTACATGAATTACATATTTTATTCATTTTAGAGTATATATATCAAGTTTCTATGTTATTTATATTGTTTATTATGTCATACTAGATGAAGTGAGATAGATAAATAAGCCATAGAGTTGATATTAGCAAAATTATTGAAGCACAGAATTCCACTGGAATGGATTAATTGCATTTCAGTTAATTTAAATGAGGAAAATTGACTCTGCAAACGAGCAAATCCAGTTGCGAGCAAGGTCATGGAACGGATTAAACTCGCAAGTAGAGGTTCCACTGTACAGTGGACCCCCGGTTTATGATCAGCTCCCAATGCGACCAATTATGTAAGTGTATTTATGTAAGTGCGTTTGTATGTGTATGTTTGGGGGTCTGAAATGGACAAATCTAATTCACAATATTCCTTATGGGAACAAATTCGGTCAGTACTGGCACCTGAACATACTTCTGGAATGAAATAATATCGTAAACCGGGGGTCCACTGTATATGACTTTATTAGTGGAAAAAAATGGCTTTCTGTTTTCTGGCGATAGCCTGTAACCTAACCTGCCATATAAGTGGGGCCCTACTGTATATATACCAAGAGCTGTGTATCTTAATGTATATATTTACAAAGTTTTTTTAATGCCTATTTTAGGAACCAGATATATATTTGGTTCTGATATATATCAAACAGCTGTTGCAAAGGTGAAGTGCAGTCTTACTCTTGTGTAATTGATAGGCTTTAAACCTAATAAACCAACTGCTAATTCTTTTATTATGATTATTATTAGCTTTAAGATTCAGTTATGTAAATTAATATCAATGAGTTCATTTAGGGTAATTTTCTTTCAAACTTTTCTGAAGTTACCAATAAAAAATTTCATTTACAAAATCCATCATCAGTATACTGAATTCTAACAAGGATTGCTAGTGTATGTTTTAATATATTTTTATAAATCAGTTTTTGAACTGTAATGTCAGTGCTCCTCTGGCAAGACAGTGATTGAGTGATCATTTTTTTTTTTTTTGTCACCCTGCTTCGGCAGGAAATGGCCAGTGTGTTCATAAAAAAATCAGTGTTGATTCAATACGAGGAAAACACACAATGCAGGTTAGATCATATTGAATAAATTTCAAAAAGAAATGGAAAAAGTGGTGTGTGAATGAGAACTCTGATGAATGTATTGACAGTGAAAAACAGTCTTATTAGTAGGCAGTGTCTGTATGGTATTTGTTGAAATCTCTAAGAAGTAAATCATCAATTATGAGTGAGATGATGTCTGATGAATGGCTTTGATTTTTGAGTGAATGTTGAAATTTTCATTATTATTGTAGTCTCTCTTCACTTAACATACTCATTTACCGACCACTTGGCCTTATGACCAGCTCTCTGACCAATGTGCATACATAAGTATAATGTATATTAGAGCTGATTTCCTCTATTTTATTACAATATACATGTACAGTACATTACTGTATAAACATTTAAAAATATACTAACAATGTTGTAAATGGTGCAAACGGTCCAAACGTATATATACGTTCTCTTGCGTAGTGCCCCAAATTTTTCGAGAAAAAAAAAATAGTTTTTTTTTTAATAGGAAAAAAGACCATATGGTACCACGGCATCCCCAATTATTTCAGTATGGTGCAAAGTGAGTGTGCACACCCATTCTCTCATGTCTAGGCGACTCACGCTTATCGTGGCAATGTTGAATGCATAACAAATAAAACGTATATATACGTTTGGGGCACTAGTGGCAAAAACGCTCCCATCTTGTTTCTCATCCTCATATCTGACTTAGACAAGGATGGCAGCCACAGCACCGTGTCTTCCTTTGCAGATGACACCCAAATCTGCATGACAGTGTCTTCCATTGCAGACACTGCAAGGCTCCAGGCAGACATCAACCAAATCTTTCAGTGGGCTGCAGAAAACAATATGAAGTTCAACGATGAGAAATTTCGATTACTCAGATATGGTAAACACGAGGAAATTAAAACTTCATCAGAGTACAAAACAAATTCCGGCCAAAAAATAGAGCGAAAAACCAACGTCAAAGACCTGGGAGTGATCGTGTCGAAGAATCTCACCTTCAAGGACCATAACATTGTATCAATCGCAGCTGCTAGAAAAATGACAGAATGGATAATGAGAACCTTCAAAACTAGGGATGCCAAGCCCATGATGACACTCTTCAGGTCGCTTATTCTATCTAGGCTGGAATATTGCTGCACACTAACAGCACCTTTCAAGGCAGGTGAAATTGCTGACCTAGAAAATGTACAGAGAACCTTCACGGCGCACATAACGGAGATAAAACACCTCAATTACTGGGAGCGCTTGAAGTTCCTGAACCTGTATTCCCTGGAATGCAGGCGGGAGAGATACATGATTATATACACCTGGAAAATCCTAGAGGGACTAGTACCGAACTTGCACATGAAAATCACTCACAACGAAAGCAAAAGACTTGGCAGATGATGCAACATCCCCCCAATGAAAAGCAGGGGTGTCACTAGCACGTTAAGAGACAATACAATAAGTGTCAGGGGCCCGAGACTGTTCAACTGCCTCCCAGCATACATAAGGGGGATTACCAATAGACCCCTGACAGTCGTCAAGCTGGCACTGGACAAGCACCTAAAGTCGGTACCTGACCAGCCGGGCTGTGGCTCGTACGTTGGATTGCGTGCAGCCAGCAGTAACAGCCGGGTTGATCAGGCTCTGATCCACCAGGAGGCCTGGTCACAGACCGGGCCGCAGGGGCGTTGACCCCCAGAACTCTCTCCAGGTGAACTCCAGGTAATATGTTTGGACCATTTATGGGCTAAAGAGGCAGTTGGAGGCAGTGGAGATGTCCTGTCTAAGGGCAATGTGTGGTGTAAATATTATGCAGAAAATTCGGAGTGTGGAAATTAGGAGGTGTGGAGTTAATAAAAGTATTAGTCAGAGGGCTGAAGAGGGGCTGTTGAGGTGGTTTGGTCATTTAGAGAGAATGGATCAAAGTAGAATGACATGGAGAGCGTATAAATCTGTAGGGGAAGGAAGGCAGGGTAGGGGTCATCCTCGAAAGGGTTGGAGTGAGGGGGTAAAGGAGGTTTTGTGGGCAAGGGGCTTGGACTTCCAGCAAGCGTGCGTGAGTGTGTTAGATAGGAGTGAATGGAGATGAATGATATTTGGGACCTGACGAGCTGTTGGAGTGTGAGCAGGGTAATATTTAGTGAAGGGATTCAGGGAAACCGGTTATTTTATATAGCCGGACTTGAGTCCTGGAAATGGGAAGTAAATGCCTGCACTTTAAAGGAGGGGTTTGGGATATTGGCAGTTTGGAGGGATATGTTGTGTATCTTTATACGTATATACTTCTAAACTGTTGTATTTCGAGCACCTCTGCAAAAACAGTGATTATGTGTGAGTGAGGTGAAAGTGTTGAATGATGATGAAAGTATTTACTTTTTGGGGATTTTCTTTCTTTTTGGGTCACCCTGTCTCAGTGGGAGACGGCCGACTTGTTAAAAAAAATATATATATATCTAAAGACGGTTAACACAAACCCACTACTAGTATCGTTTGCTCCTCGCATAACGACCAGTTCGTTTACCAACCTACTCTTAGGAATGGAACTCTGTCATTAAGTGAGGAGAGACTGTATTATATATAAATTTTCTTTTATTTAGGCCCTTTTCCTGTGATTATTTCAATGCCGTAAAAACATTTGTGTTCAGTAATGTTTTTAATTCTAAATTTATTTTTTTTACTCTGAAAATACAGGGGCTTAGTACAGTTAACCATCATTGAAGATGAGGTGCTGAAAGGTGACATAGAAAATGTTGAGAAAAAAGTTCTTAATGTTGAGGAGGCACAAGATGATGAAGCCAAGTCAGAAGTAGTAGTCTGCGAAAAGAAGAAAAAAGAAACGGAAGTAGCAGTACCATCTGACATTAATCATTGTGGAGAAGAACCTTTCATTCCCAAGCTGCGTAATATAGTGAAGGGATTTCTTCCTCTGGTGAGATTTCTTGTAATGACATCTGAAGAATTTATGAGATATGTGCTGCCTTCTGGCATTCTCACTAATGATGAAGGTGTGGCTATTCTACAAAGAATTGAAGGTGTACAATCTGTAGTTTTACCAGACTTTATTTCATTTCTTTCAACAAAGAAACGAAAACATATAATGAGTTCTTGCTGCTTGTTTAGGCCCCGTTTATCAGATGGTAGTAACTATAGTTTTAACTTTAGGAGTGAACTTCTCCTTCAAGTGCTTGATAATTTTAAGACATCAGAGCCAATATTTTTAATGAAGATTTCTTCTCCATGTATTTCAAGTGTTGAAGATGGTGAGGTATCTGTGCTCAATTCAGCTGAAGAGGAATTTGCTCAAGGGACTTGGAAAGGTGCTGTTTGCCATTTTAAAAAGCCAGTTCACCTAGTTCCTGATCAGACCTATAAGGTCTTGTTAAAAATTTGTAAAACTTTTGTGATGACAGACTCGGGTGACATCGACACTGAACACAAGGGCGTAAAATTTGTTGGTACAACTTACTGTCGTGCAGAAGTAAAAATTGAGTATATTTTAGAAAGTGAAATGTTGATTGACAAGAAGTAGCAACTTAACAGCAACCTTTGGCACTGTTTGTTCCATGCAGGCTTAGAGCTTTCATGCAAATACATTAATTATAATCTACCAAAACTTTTCCCACCGTTTGATTCACTCTTATTTAACTGCAAGAATAATGATGTATTAATAGATGCTAATTAGCTTCTAAATACTGCTGTTTGAGATTTTTAAACTGTGTTGATGCAATGTAGTGCTGATAAGGCAGGAATGTTGGTCTGTGGGTCATTTGCATTTTGATGCAGTGGAGGCAGGAACCATACATAGTTTTAAAACAAGACATGATAAAGCTCATGGAGCAGGGAGAGGGAGGACCCAGTAGTGGTCAGTGAAGAGGCGGGGCCAGGAGCCAAGTCTCGACCCCTGCAACCACAATTAGGTGAGTACACATCTAACAAAACAGCATTTGAATGAATGAAGGTGAATTGATTTCTTTTTTTTTTCTTTGGGGAAGATGGCCAGTAAGGTAAAAAAAAAAATGTAATAGAATACACAAAAGTATTGGAGTGATGCAAGAAAATGATTAGGATCAATAAATGGAATTATTCATAAAACACATAATTCTACCCAACATTCATAAAATTAAAATCTGTAATTTTGAATGTAAGGTAATTTAATGTATAATATTTAGAAATAAACATTGTGCATTAAGAAATAGCATACAATAGACTGAAAAGTCATAATTTAAGCCTCGTTGTTGATTTGAAAATGAAATGTTAATTTTATATTTTTGGTCTACTATTTTTGAAAAATATTTTGGTGCTTAAAAATTATTGCTGTAATTTTGTTAGAATAAATGTATGGATTGCATTCTTAATTTTTTTCTTCTACCATGATTTAAAAAAGTGATTATAATAAACAGGCTTTCGTTTGTCCCATGATGGCATTTTTTTTTTTAATTCCAAATACAGTGGACCCCCGGTTTACGATCAGCTCCCAATGCGACCAATTATGTAAGTGTATTTATGTAAGTGCGTTTGTATGTGTATGTTTGGGGGTCTGAAATGGACTAATCTAATTCACAATATTCCTTATGGGAACAAATTCGGTCAGTACTGGCACCTGAACATACTTCTGGAATGAAATAATATCGTAAACCGGGGGTCCACTGTACAGAGGTACCTCGAGTTTCAAACAGCTCCCAACTCAAACAGTTATATACATGTACGTGTATTTTTGTAAATTAAGATAAGATTTTCTTTGGGTTTTTAACACCGGAGGGTTCGCCACCCAGGATAACCCAAGAAATTCAGTGCGTCATCGAGGACTGTAACTTATTTTCATTGGGGCCCTTAATCTTGTCCCCCCCAGGATGTGACTAACACCCAGGTACTTATTTGCTACTAGGTGAACAGGACAACAGGTGTAAGGAAACGCGTTGAAATGTTTCTGCCCGCTGGGAATCGAACCCGGGCCCTCCGTGTGTGAAGCAGGAGCTTTTGCCACCAGGCCACCAGTTCTTTTGTAAGTATGTTTTTAGGGGCCTTGAAACGGACTAATCTAATTTACACTATTCCTCATGGGAACAAATTCGTTCAGTATCCGCACTCAAACAGCCTTCTGGGTCAAATTAATTTCGTAACTCGAGGTACCACTGTAATGTTTTATGAATTATTTTTATATTTTTCATATGTAATAATATAGGTAATGTTTATATACTATATATATATATATATATATATATATATATATATATATATATATATATATATATATATATATATATAAAATACATACATATACATAATACATATACAGTAAGTTCACAGTAAACAGGTGATATCACAATATGCAGAATAACCACTGTGAAAAAATAATGAAATTCCAAGTGCTTTCACGATTTCTCACATTATAATGTGAGAAATTACGAAAGCACTTGGAATTTCACTATTTTTTCACAGTGGTTATTCTGCACTATATAGTATATATATACTTTATAGGTTATTGGTTATTATTTTATATCCCTAAGTGGAGGATACTTGATGCCAGTAAAAAGCTCTTGATTCAAAGAGCTGGATTTATCCTCTGCTTGGCTCAGATTTAAATACCTTCTATTTTCCTGGTGCTATATAACCTCTACTGGTTTACGGCTCCGTCTTCATTAAAAAAATGAATGTGTGTGTACAGTTGTAATAATGTATTAGTGAATGCATTATAGTGGAAATACGGTTTTAAATGTTTACACCTCAGTACTCGTACATTCTGATTGAGACTGAACCTTCTTCAGTATGATCATTGTACCGTTTTATTCATACAGGTGTACACAATGGAGATTTCTATATTCATATACAAAATATACTCTCATCAGATGTACAGTAATTAAATAACACAAAAAGGCACAATACTGTGACTGGAACGATACACAAATAACCCGCACATAAGAGAGAAGCTTACGGCGACGTTTCGGTCCGACTTGGACCATTGACAAAGTCACACTGTGACTTTGTCAATGGTCCAAGTCGGACCGAAACGTCGTCGTAAGCTTCTCTCTTTTATGTGCGGGTTATTTGTGTATGTACAGTAATTGTTGTAGTTTGGGAAATTCCATTCCTCCCAGGTGATGTATAACCCCTGCTGGTTTGGCATTCACTCCCCATGAAATGTTCTCCACAATAGGCTTTGTTTAGCATTGCTAAAAAGTTCGGCCTTCAAGAGACTAAGCAGGTTTTGACGATTATTAAAGACTAGCAGTATCTGTGTTTCTTTATTTGAGAGAGAGAGATGGCTTGCCAGGACTCAAGTACAGAGACATATGGTATTCCCTATGAAAACAATTACATAAATTATTCTGTTCCTAAGAGTAGGTTGGTAAGCGAATTGGTCGTTAAGCGAGGAGCATATTGTACTGGTGGTGGGTTTGTGCCAACCATCTTTAGATTTTTTTATATGTCACCTTTGCACCATTTATATTTTTAAATGTTTATACAGTTGTGTATTGTATACTGTAATGAACAGAATAGAGGAAATCAGCTCTAATATGCACAGATTTGCATACTGGTTGGAGAACCGGTTGTAAGTCCGAGCAGTCAGTAAATTAGTACATCATTAAGTGAGGAGATACTGTATGCTAAATTAAAAAAAAAAAAAATGTGGACATGTCTTGAAAAACTTTTTGTTAACAGTTAATGTATAGAAATTTTATTTTCCTCTTTAAAGTAAAATTTTCTATGGTGATTTAGCAATTCTTCATATATTTAACAATCAAGATTGCTTTAAATTATTACATTACATTGGATTTGTCTTTCAAAACATTTACATTATTACATCTTATACATAAATAGTATAGGCACACAGGTGTGGAAAGTGATTTTTAACCAAGAGTAAACCAGAACAGTTGTACAACCCTTGTGGGTTTAACACTTAGTTTTGATTATAATAATAATGACTCGGAACAGTCACACAAGGGTAAACAGAATTACTTGCTTGAAAATTTTTGTTCTGCAGAATAGCGCTGTGTAGCCCTTGTGGCTTAGCGCTTGTTTTTTATTATAATAATCTACAGAATAGTGCTGCGACCCACAAGAGTTTAGTGCACGTTCTTTAATAATTAGCAGCAAGTAATGCTGCTTGTGTCACAACTGCAGCACTGTATGGCCCTTGTGGGTTTAGCTTAGTTTTGATTATAATATGCGATTGTATTGCAACCACAAGAGCCAATATTATCGTCTCCATTTCTACTTGCACTTGGCGGCTCATGGCACAAGTGGTAGGTGTATATTGTGCACCTTTCGCTGATAACCAAGGAATTCGGGTTCAATCTCGGGACAAGTGGAAGCATTGAGTGTATTTCCTTATTCCTATTCACTTTCCAGTGAGTAGGGTACTGGATGTTATGAGACTTAAGAGCAGCATCCTGAGGAAGGATCACAATAGAATAAGCCTTATTTTCCTGGCTTAACCCCCTGGTTAATTATCCAAATAAAATATTTTTCTATTTGCTGTCAATATTTCACCCCTATCATCACATTATCACAACACTAGCACCACAACCATCACTACTACAGTAACCACCATAATTCACACCACATACACCATTATGCAGACAGACATGCGTTGCTCAAGACACTGAGGGAACATATCGCCATAGAGGATGTGTATACGTCTCTACATACTATCTGTATCACCATACCCCTCTAATCATAACACCATAATGTTGACTGCTGCCCACATAATGGATAAGAGGTACATAGTCAACCTATTAACCATAATGTACAACTACCCTGCCTCGGTGGGAGACGGCTGATGTGTTAAAAAAAAAAAAAAAAAACTGTTGCTGCCACAATACATTCTACCGCAGAACCATCACCATTTTCCACCACAACTTCAGTTCAACTTAATTTTCCCCCACCAGCACTACCTTATTACCTCGACCAGCACCAACGATGATTTTAATAATATAAGAAACCGGCAAGTAGATTAATAAGACATGTGCCATACTTGGGTATGTTTACTGTAGAGACATTTTACCTGGAGTATACCTGTAGAGGGTTTCGGGGATCGATGCCCCCTGGCCCGGTCTGTGACCAGGCCTCGTGGTGGATCAGGGACTGATCAACCAGGCTGTTACTGCTGGCTGCACGCAAACAGAGGTACGAACCACAACCCAGCTGATCAGGTACTGACTTTAGGTACCTGTCCAGTGCCTTCTTGAAGACAGCCAGAGGTCTATTGGTAATCCCCTTATATATGCTGGGAAGCAACTGAACAGTCTTGGGCCCCTGACTCTTACTGTGTTGTCTCTTAGCATACTCATGGCACCCCTGCTTTTCATTAAGGGGACGTTACATCTCCTGCCAAGTCTTTTGCTTTTGTAAGAAGTGATTTTCATTTGCAAATTTTGGACTAGTCCCTCTAGGATTTTTCAAGTGTATATTATGATGTATCTTCCTCACCTGTGCTCTGTGCTGTATGACCCTTGTAGGTTTAGCACTTCCTTTTGATTATAATAATAATCTCACTTGTGTTCCAGGGAGTACAAATCAAGAGGCTTCTAACATCTCTAATTTAGGTGCTTTATTTACTTATCCCCTCAAGGGTTCCTTGATGCTGGTGAGGGGCTCTTGATCTTGGGAATTGGATCTGATTCGGTTCCCTGAATTGAGCCTGAATATCTTCCCCCCCCCCCCAATGCGCTGTAATAATCCTACAGTTTAGCGCTCCCCCGTGATTATAATAATAATATTGTATTTATGCATGCTGTGAAATTTCTCTGTGCATTCTCCAGGTCTGCAATTTTGCCTGCTTTGAAATAATAATAATAATCTTTATTTACTACAAGTGCATGTACATGGTATACAGTCCTAGCTGACAACAATGACATACTACTAGATAGAAAGCCACTTGTTATGCTGAGCATCTCGGGCAAATTAGGTCAGTGTCCCTGGATGCGACCCACACCAGTCGACTAACACCAGGTACCCATTTTACTGATGGGGAACATAGACAACAGGTGGAAAGAAACACGCCCAATGTTTCTACTCTGGCTGGGAATCGAACCCAGGCCCTCGCCGTGTGAAGCGAGAGCGTTAACCACCAGGGGGTTGTTAGTGTATAGCCTAGCGAGAACGAGCGATTTGAAGAGAATCATCATGGGCTTGGCATTCCTAGTTTTGAAGGTTCTCATTATCCATCCTATCATTTTCCTAGCAGATGCATTAGATAGTGTTGTGATCTTTGAGAGCGAGATCCTCTGACATTATCACTCCCAGGACCTTCACATTAGTTTTTCGCTCTATCGTGTGGTTGGAATTTGTTTTATACTCCGATATACGTAGTTATAATTTCCTCGAGTTTTCCATATCGGAGTAATT